TCTGGCCCGCCCCGCCCCGCTGTGTCTAGGCCCGCCCACTCCCCGCCGCGCCCTGCGTGTGGGAGTCCACTTCCCATTCCCCTCTTCTTCCAGACCCCACTCACCAAACACGCCGGTGGAAATGCAAGGGAACGCCTGGAACGGGGGGGGGGGAGAGGGGATGGGGACATCATCACTCTGCACCCCCACTTCCTGCCAGCCTCCTCCCGCGGGCCGCCCCCGTTCCGCCGCTTGGCGACCCTCACCACCGAGCGGAGCCGGTGCTCTAGCAGCAGATCGAGGCTACTCAGGTAGCAGCTGCGGAGCTCCTCAGCCTGGTTGGCGCTGGGCTCCCCGTGGGCAATGGGCCCCACCGTGTGGATGACGTCTGCAGGGGGCAACAGGGTCAGCCGGGCCGGGGTCTCCGCTCCGACCAGAGCTCGCGCATTCCCCCTGCCGGCCTGGGTTGCAGGGGGGCAGGAAACAGCCTTCTCCCCTCAAATTCTGAGACTCCCAGAGGACCCCACCCTGTGGGCACATGGGTAGGGTCCGAGTCCACACGTGCGCGCTGACCCGCACGCCCATAGCTCAGTGGCCACAGGAAGCGTGTCGCGTTACGCCCAAGTCTGTGTGGACGCCCACTGAGACCTGGGCGCTGAGCGGGGGAAGATGCCTCCCCCTCCCTTCAGGCCCCTGCTGACCCCCAGCTCTTGCTGCCTGGGATGTTGGAGAAAGGGTCAGGCCCTGGCACTTGAGGTTAACAAGTGCCCCCTGTGGCTGGGAGACCGCACCCCCTCATGCTCACTGCCACACAGGTGCCCTGGCTGCGCCCCAAGGCTGTGGCCTGTCAGGGACTCACACTTGGCCGGCAGTCGATAGCCACTGGTGATCTTGGCCTTGCCGGTATCGCAGTGCTGCAGGGTCCGGCACTCGTCGGTGAGCAGGGGTCCGGCGGCCCGGTGAATGCAACCGTCCACTACGGGGGAGGAGGGAGTGAGCTGTGCGGCTCCCCGCGTCCCTGATCCCCTTTACAGAGAAGGCTGAGGTCCGTCGCTGAATACTCCCAAGCCCAAGAATCCCTTCCCTTGGCTCTGCTAAGACTTCAAACACCGCGCCTTTCCCCGACAGTCTCTGTCCGCTCGCTTCGTCCCGCCGGGAGGTGTTAGTTTCACATCTGGGGAGACCCAGGTGTCCAGTGTGGTTGCAGCTGGGCTCAGCGGGAAGCGGCGCGGGGCGACCAGCAGGGGGCGCGCCCCGCCCACCCTGCTCTTCCGGCCGCGCCAGAGGGGCTCGGGCAGGCCGGGCCCCTCACAGCAGAGCCCCCGCTACCCCGAAGATCGCACTTTCATGTCTGCCCTGGCGGATCGCGAACCTCCAACCAGTCGCCGCCACCGACAGGCCTAAACGTCGGGTCCTGCCTCAAGGCCCATCGCCCCGGGCGACGCCCCTCGGGGCTGTATCAAACTCTAGGGCCCACTTTACAAATGAAGAAACCGAGGCCATCTAATTACAAGTGGCAGATCCTACCAGGGGCCTGAGCTTGGGTCCTTCTGCACCGGGCGGCGGCTTCCAAGCCATATGCAGGTATCTTAGAGCTTGCAACCCTCCTGCTGCCTAAAGAACCAGCAGCCATCAGCTTAATTGGGGCTTAATTGGGACCAGGCCAGGGATTGTTTATTCGAAGGTGGCTCCAGGGCCTTTGGAGCCACCCTGGGGACCCCAGCCCAGATAAACAACTTCGGAGCAGCCCCGAGGCGGGGAGGAGTCCTCTAGCTGCCGACCCTGGTGAATTCCAGGCTGGCGCCTCATGGCTGCCAGACTGAGTCCCTTCCTTCTATCTGGAAACCTTCTATCTGGAAATTATTAGGGCCAGTGAAACACCTTCAGGAAAAGGGAAGAATGTAACACATCTTTGCCGTCTGATTGCACCTCAGGCCTGGATCCGAAGCTCCTCCAACACCAGGTGCCTTATGCTCCCAGTGCCTGGCATCAAGAAAGGACCATAATTTCCCCCATTTTACAGACACACAAACCAAGGCTACTTCCTCCTGTCGCTCCATCCCTCAAAGTCTTGGCACAGTTCCAGGGACTCCAGCTGGACTAGACCCCTCTTTTTTCTGCTGTTTCTCTTGTGCCCTGTGGGGTCCAATTAAACCTAATTTTACAACCTCTCTCAGAGCTGGCACCAGGTGATTTCTCAGAGGTGGGTGTGGGTGGGACAGGGGTTGAAGAACACTAGGAGTGGCTCAGGTCTGGTCTTTCCAGCCCCCTCCTCTCCTTTGGGGGAATAAAGACAGCAGCAGCCTCAAGGAGGAGGCAGTGAAACCCACCCAGGCCCTGGGAGCAGGTGCTGCAGAGCAGGGGCAGAGCAAGTCTGCTGTGGGTGAGAGCGCATCATGGGCCACAGCAGGGGCCTGGGGGCTGGGCAGCCCGAGAGTTTAAATCCCCCCTCTGTGAGCCACAGCTGTGTGACCCAGGGCACATCACTCAGCCTGTCTGGGTCTAATAGCAGTACCCACTTCATGGAGGGTGTTGGAAGAATAGTTAATTCTTTTTTTTTTTTTTCCCTACAGATTTTAGGATCAAATCCAGGGCCTTGTGCATGCTAGGCAAGCACTCTTCTGCTGAGCTACATCCAGAGCCCCAAGTGAGCTGATTCTTATAACATGCTTCAGCCAGGACTTGGCATAAGCAGAAGTGAGGTTGGCTGGCTCTTATTATGACAGTATGACAAATGTGGCATGTTCAGGGAATGTGTGTACACCAGAGGTAGGTGTGCACAGGTGACCATGGAGTGTTGGGTCTTGACCAGCTCCAGTGGTCTCAGCCTCCTGGCACCCAGCTGCTAGTCTCCGGGGGCTAACTGCCCTGCAGGTGACCTTGGCTGGCTGTGGGAGCTGTGCGGAAGTGGAGCTCGGTGAGATCTGTGTCTCAGGGACTTAATGTTTCCTGCAGAAGTGGACAGGCCTGCAGCCAGGCCCTTGGGACTGACCTGGGGGCACAAGGCAGGAGGGAGAGGGTTGGAGGTGGTACTAGCAGAGGCTTTGGGCTGCAGTCCCTCCAGCAACTTCTAGAACAGGGCCAGGCACCCACAGGAGGGGTTCCCCTAAAGCAAAGATGGGAGACAGGCCTAGGATACCACCTCTGCTCCACACCCCCAAGCAGGACAGAGCCCCGACTGAGCTACCTCTCCTGCCCAGCCCCTCCCTGTTCACCCAGCAGCCTTCCTGCTCTCCCACCCAAGTGCAGAGGGGAACCCAGCCCTCTTGTCTTTGGCCACAGGCCCAAAGGGCCCACTCCCCTCTACACTACCAGCAGCCCTAGGTTCTGGCCCCCAGGCCTCACCCTGGCTCTTACCTTGGCATTGGCCAAGACTTTCTGGGATCCTGTACAAGGGAGGTGTCCTTCCTTCCTGCCAGGCCAGCCCCTGAGCAGCTGGGAAAGCCCTGGCCCCTGGGGCTGTCTGGTGGGAGGTGAGGTGTCCCTGATTCACTGGCCAACCAACCCTTCTGCTCTCAAGATCAATGCCACCAAAAACCCCTCAAAACTTCCAGCTCAACCTTTCCTGGGGAGATTGTTGAGCCCACTTGGGGGGCGAGGACTTTCTTCAAGTATCTGTCCACCAGGTCTAGCTTTCCTCCAGTTGTGGCACCAGCAGATGCCCCTGACGCCTACTCTGCCCCTCCTGTTGGCCCCTCCTACTCCTCCACCCCTCTGCCCCCACCAGAGAACCCTTCCACACACTCGGCAAGAGCCCTACCACTAAGCCACGCCCCATCCCCTATTTTATTTATTTTGAGACAACCTCTCCCTAAGTTGCCCAGGCTGGCCTCCAGCTTGTGATTCTCCTGCCTCAGCCTCTGGAGTAGCTGGGCATATAGGCCCTGCCCTGGCTTCAGATGGCTCCGTCCAGCCCCCGCGGCCCAGGCCAGGCGCTGGCTGGTTTGAGCCTCCACCTCCTTGGAAGGTGCTGCCATTTTTTCTGATTTTGGTAGAAGACACTGAGGGCCAGAGAGAGACCTGGCATTGTCACAGCCAGAGGTTGGGTCGCTGTCATTTGGTATCCTACTTCCTCTAGGACCACTAGATGTCTGTCCCTCTTACCACTGGGCCCCCTGCCCTGGCTGGCTGGCCTGGGGTTGCCCCACTTCATTCTACACCTTCATCTGCAGCCCCGCCCAATCAAGGGACTTCTTTGGGGACCCTCACCTTTCTCCACTGCCCGACTTCCCCTGCATGGTTGCCCACCACCTCCATCCTGCGGGCTCTCGGCCTCCAGGGCCCCCACTTGGCTCCCCATCCTTCCCCGCCAGGGGGGGGAGGGGCAGGGCGGGGCAGGCAGGCTCCAGAGGGGTCACCGCCAAGGCGCTGAGGATGAGTTGGCGGCTATTTAGGGTGCTGTAATATTCATGAAGGGAAGATTAGATATTTAAATTTATTCAGCAATAAATGCGTCTCAGTGGGGGAGCATTCCTCATGCTAAACAAACAAGCAAGTAGGGGCTAATTAATTATTTACAGGAACACAGGAGCCTGTGGCCTGGGGAATGAGGGGGGCAGCCATACCCTGCCAACGGGCAGGACACCCTGGCCAGCCTCCACCGGCCATTCCGCCTTCACCACCCTGTGGATCTGGCCCCGGGTACCCCTTCAGGAGTCTTCTTCCCAGAAATCCTGCCACAAGATTGCCAATGACTTTAGGCAAGAACCTGGGCCTTGAGAGTCACGGGAAGCAGTGACATTCTGGGAGGTGGCTGAGGGACAAAGACGGAAGGCCAGAGGGGTGTAGCAACTTGCCCAGGGTCTCACAGTAAGAGGCAGAGCAAAAGCAAAGAGTAACCTCCATTTTACAGAAGTAGAGACAAAGGCTCAGAGGGGCAAAGCCACCTCCTCAGAGTCACATAGCAAAGCAGGGGTCCTAAGGCCTTTCCTGGGTTCTTGTGGGCCCACAGAACAGGAAAGACAGCAGAGAGGACAGGTCTTCAAGGTCAACAGATCATGGCCTGCCTCCCCAGGGCTCAAGTCTCCCAGACTCTGCAATGAGCTCACTGGGGCCCAGTGGGGGCCCTGCTTCCAGTGACAGAGCAGCCCCAGGCCCGAGGGACTCATGGGCGGGGAGCCTCCCAGCGCTCTTCCCTCTCTGCTCTTCCACCTTCCCACTGGCCACGCCTCAGTTCCTAGTTTCCATAGCAAGGCCCTCCTCCCTGGCGAGGCACCAAGGAGGAGAGGCCTACAGTGCCTGGTACTTGGTCACATTGTCACTCTTTCTACAGAGGGTGAGACCGAGCCTCAGTCACAGGCCTTAGGCAAGCATCTGCTGGCCCTCCAAGCCCTCAGGGACTCAGGAGCAGGCTGCACTGCGGGTGGAGAGGTCCCTGGGAAAGCCCTGCGCAAGGCTCCTGGCTGGGCCTCTGCAGCCTGGGCCTGGCAGGAGGGGCTGCCGAGGTAGCGGCCTGGGCAGAGCCCGGGGAGGGGCACCTCCCAGCCCAGGAAGGCACGGAGGGCTGGGGCTGGGGGCCACCTGGGGACCTGGGGCAGCACACACTGTGGCCCACCCACAGCTCCCGCAGCAGGTCTGAGCCTCCCTCTTGGAAGAAGGAAACAGGGAACACCAGGCTGGAAGGGGCCAGGCCCCGCAGGGTAGATGGGAAATGGCCTCCCCAGGAGGGTACCCAAGGATCTGGGGCAGATGTCTGGGCTGCTGATTCTCAGCTTCCCTGCAGGGGGCAGGCCATGAAGCCTGGATAAATGACCACCAAAGGCCTTGTCCCCTCTTCTGTTCGGCCACCCAGACTCTCCAGTTGTGGCCTCTGTTCATTTCCTCGGGAGCAGGGACTGAGAGGATGCACTTGTCAGACCATCCTCTAGTCGCTCAGTCAGTCAACAAACCTGCACCGGCCCCAGCTCTGTGCTGGCAGGGGCTCGGTCCAGGGTGGGAGCAGGGCCCACTTCGCCAGGCCCCGCCCTCGAGGTGCCA